TACTTTGAGGTGACGCACGCTAGATGACGAGCGCGGGGTCGTGCACCACTGGGGATTGTGACTTGGTCCATCCCGAACGACTATTAAGTCGCGTATTTACTTGAAAACTATTTGATATCGTTATATCTTGGAAAATATTATTGTGTATGGGGCTAAATGTCGTGTTTGGGCCTTGTGCCGATTGTTTGGACCCTTAGGGGCTTTTACTACTGTTTTACCTCACTTTTTTGGTTTAATGTTTATACTCAGTCATGCTATGTTCTTACTGTTTTCATAGCTCGGTTTTATTCACCCCTTTTGATTTCATAAATGATTTTGAGCCGAGTACTTGATTTACTGTTACCCGTGTGGCTTGTGAGATTCTGACAGAGTAAGGCCGAGGGCCTGTGTTGTGAGGATACTATGGGATCGGGCTGCGCGCCGCAGCATGTGGTACCGATTGTGATATATGAGAGGCCGAGGGCCAGATTTATTATGCCATGAGGTGGCTTGTGATTTATATGAGGCCGAGAGCCTATTGATTATGCCACGAGATGGCTTATTATTGCGCTTGGGCCGTAAGGGGCCCCTCACGGAGTCTGTACACCCCCAGTGAGCACGGGTACCTAGTGTGAGTGATGTGGTGTAGCCCGAGGGGCTGTTGTTGTTTCATATTGAAGCCCGAGGAGCTGTTCTTGATCCATGTTGCTCGAGGGGCGGTTCTTGATTCATGTTATGCCCGAGGGGCTGATTATGAGTGATTGTGAGGTAGCCCAAGGGGCTGGTTCTGTTGATATTATGCCCGAGGGGCGGTTTATGGTACATATTCGCCCGAGGGGCTGTTTAAGTTTCTATTATTTTACTCAATGTTTTATCACTCGTTTGAAACTATTGAAAGTTGTTTTAAGAGATTTTACTGAAACTGAGCTTGATTTACGAAGTAAATGATTTCTGTACTGTTTTGAAAATGTACTGCATTTGCTGTAGCGTTATGACGTGGCTTACGTGTTTTCTTACTGCTCAGCTTTCATTTACTTTTATTACTTACTGAGTTGGCGTACTCACATTACTCCCTACACCTTGCGTGCAGATTCAGGTAGTTCTGAACCCGGTAGCGGGTGTTGATTGCGCAGTGGCAGAGTCAGTGGTGTTAGCAAGGTAGCTGCCCGACATTCGCAGCACTACTTTTCTCCCTCTTGTCTTCCTTATACTGTATCTAGTACATTTTAGATTCTTAGTTGTGTTCAGACCTTAGTACATGCTCGTGACTTGTGACACCCCGATGTCGGGCTGTGTTTTGTTTCCGCAGTTGATATATTTCGCTTTATTTTGGGATTTATCATTATTAATGACTTGATTATGAATCATTATATTTGTTAATTAAACTTGGGGTTTGTGTCGGCTGGCCTTGTCTTCATGAGAGGCGCCATCACGATCGGGTCTGGGTTTAGGGTCGTGACACCTTCTTAATATTATACTGATATTGTTTACTTTGTGATCTATTTTTTTTTAATCTCTAGCACTCCTTTTATGGAATAAATTTATGTACCATAAGATTTGTTTTAACTTGAAAATAACTTTTCTCATATGATGAATTTAAAAAATAATTTAATTGAATTCTCTTGCTAAATAATTAATTTTGATTATTTGGTTTAACATAAAATATAATTTATTTTCTGTTGATTTAGATTCTTAATATTAGTTAATCTCAAGTTTGAATATTTAATTATAATTTTATCCACCAAAAATTTTATTTTTAAAGAGTAAAAAGATCGATTTGACATTCCACTTTTAGATCTTTATGTTTGCAAAATCATTAGTGGTATTGGCTCTTACCAACCTTTTCTTTCTTTTCTCACACATTTATATTCTTAAAAAATTTTTTAGTTGTTCTTTAATAATTGAGTATATTTTTCTATATTACACGACAAATTAATAACAAAAAAAATATTATTTGAGTAGGAAAACAGTTCAAATATAATATAATAATATATTATCATGGTATTTTTTTTCTCAATTTCAACGCTTTATGCAGTCCGTTTAGCGTTATTTTTTTTTGTACTGAATTATAGAGTGGTAATGTATTACCAATATGGAGGATTCTTGTGAAATTGATTTTATTAAACCTTACTACATATTTTTAATAAGAATTCAATAGACAAGATTGCATTAATTTCAAAATCTTAAATATTAAAAAAAGTAACATAGAAGTTATAGTCCAAAAAAATAAGTTATTACAGTTATATCCTTTCCCTATGAGTTTTTCTCTTTAACATTTTAGGGCTATTTTGGTTTATCAATATTATATTCGTGCTTTTATAATAATATATATGGGCTCTCATGTTTTTAAATGGATTTGGACAATATAATACGTTTTCAAATTAAATTAGTAATAGGAATTTTTTAAGAAGTATATCTTAAAAGTAATTGAATTACATGGCTAAAAATATGTCCATATATCGAAAGTAATTATATTTATATAAAATCTAACATATTCCTAAAGGTATAACATGTAGTATTATATATTTATGCCAAAAAATAATTATACTAATAGGATTCTTAAAGGTAATCATGTAGGATTCCTAACGTATAGTATTATGTCCTAAAACTAATAGGATTACAAGGCTAATATCTAGAATTCTGATTATGTCCTTTTATTGTGAGTTATTATGCTTAATATTAAAGGGTTATTTTTATAATCCAACATTTTATTCATGCTTTTATAATAATATAGATATATATGCCACGTGATTCTTTATATTAGTTGACACTTCAAGCCTTGTCTTTAATGAACAAAATATATACTTTGACAAATCTTGAAGTATGGAACATTTGTAGGCATACAAAATTTATTGGATTTAAATTCAATAAGATAATTTGGACTAAAGTTTGAATATACTAGTCCAAATAAATATTATGGGCTAATATAATTAAATTAATTATACAAGTCCAATATATATGGATTAAATAAAGGAATTTTTACCTCCTATAGCAAAACACCTTATTTATTTTAAATAAATACTATTTTAAAAAATTATATTCTATAGATACCTTTTAATGTTTATAGCAAATATCTAATTTTGGTTACCTCCTACCCCTAAGCCACTAAATACGCTATTCAGTTATACTATTTTCTTTCTCTCTCTACTTTGATACGCTATTCAATAATGAAAGCAGTAAGTTTCCTCTTTATCAATTCGCCATCTTCAATTGCTCCAATCCGAACCAGCGAATTCACCATAGCCGACCGCCGCATAATATTCAAATTCAAGTGCTGATGACTCGTCTTCGTCGTCGTCGCCGTATTGATATGGGCATATTTGGTCTGATTTGAATTCTTGTGAAGGCTACAACGGAATGAACCTGGATGATTTGTCAGCGCACACATGCAATGTTTTTTCTTCTGATGATGATTTTGTTGGCCGCTATTCTGCTGTGGTTCACGGCGATGAACGGAACAACGGATTCGCCGAAAATTAGGGTTTTTTCTTGAACAAAGATGACGGAGTTTGGGGCTGAGAAACTTGATTTTCTGTTAATATATTTCAATGTATTTTCATGTATTTCATTGTATTCACTGTCTTTTTTTTCATTGTATTTCAATGTATCCCGCTGTATTCTATGTATTTCATTGTATTCACTGTCTCGCTATATGCCATGAATGTATTCATATATATTTTTTAAATTAATATAATTTATGTATTCAGATGTATTATATAATTTCTCTGAAGATTACTATGTTTTTGGGTTATTTTTCGGTTGAGAATCTTTTTTATAACTGAAAATACAAAATTTGTGTGTTATAAGTGAGTTTGTTGAGTTATATTAGGAGTCTTTTATGTTAATTGATTCACTTTCCGTTTAAAAACAGTGTAATCCCCAGTTTCACGCCGTGAATATAGTCGAATACAGTCGAATACGATAATATGTCCAGCTGTAATCCCATGTTTCACGCCATGAACACAGTCGAATACACTCGAATACAACAACTGATTAGCTGGACTTCCCTGATTCACGCCTATTTTTGCTACTGTATTCATGAATACAGTAGCTTAGATACATCTAATACATCTTATAACAACAAAAAACGTATCTACAACCCGTAATATAGCAAATGGTATCTATAGATAGCTAATTACCACTAAAAGATAGTGCTTTATGAAAATTTCTCTTAAATAAATAAGTCTTAATCCATTGACTAACCCATTTAATTGGACTAAAGTGATAAGCCCACTTCATTAAGCCCAAGTTGTCATCTTCTTAGAGGCCTAGTTTGGCGCCACGCGTCAAACGACGTGGCACGCCAAGTCAAAAGGAAGAGCCAATAGGATCGTGTCACGTGTCAAAATGACAAGGCATGCCAAGTCATATTAAAAGGCCAATGAAATCGCGCCACATGTGCAAGTGACATTTCTGGCCAATCAAATGCGGCCTTGTCACACTTCAATTTGATTGGTCGGAAAGAGTTTGTTCTTATCATAACTCTTCCCTCCCACAACTATAAATAGGGGTCTTCATAACCCAAGATACTAGAAGTGATAATAAGAAGCAAGAAAGAGCTCGTGGATCAAACACTACAAATTTCTCTACAAGTTTCAACCTTCAAGCAATAAGAACAAATCAAGTTCAAGCTCAAGAACGAAGAACAAATCAAGTTCAAGCTTAAGAATGAAGAACAAATCAAGTTCAACCTCAAGAACGAAGAACAAGATCAGGATCAAGCTCAAAGACCTTTGAATTCATTTACTATTGAAAAGAAGAATCAGAAGATTTATAGAGATTGTAACACTCAAATATTCCAAATCAAATACTACGATTATTGCAATACTTTTTCGATCTCGAATATTTTTTTGACGTAATTTATTGTCTACAGTCAAATAAACAAATCTTTCAAAAATCAGCTATGGGAAACCTTTTCTTCTGCTGAGTACTTAATTTTGATGGATATTAAAACATCTTCTATGGCCACTTGATTAAAAAAAATCAATGAGTGCGGTCCAAGTCCCATCGTCTAAGCAATACAAATCTCATTACGGAAAGAAAAGATAAAAAGATTTTTTTAAAAAGGAAGAGAAGAACATTAAAGATCCAATTTCTATTTTAAAATCAATTCTGTGGGTGTTCACAAATAGTGATATTAAAAATAAATATTCCTTTTTAGGCACTCTACAATTACTCAAAATTCAAAAAGTAGAGGCCTAGTGGGTTTTTTCTTGTGACGTTTTATGGGGAAATCGGTTCCTTCGCCAAATAGAATTCAAGATTTTGCCAGAATTATCAGCAGCTCCAATAACAGAATCCACGGCCCGACCCAGGTCAAACCACCCGCATCCAGAATTAGGTCAGTTCCATCCGCGAAGTCCAGGGCGGTGGTCGGCGGCGATTCATCGGAGCGGCGGCTAAAGTTGAAGACGAAGAACATGGAAGAAGCAAGCTCTAACTCCAATTCGAATACTTCTTCGTCGAACCAACAGCGGCAACGGGTACCCCTTGCTGACGTGGTGGCTGACTGTGTGAAGCGGTGGTTCCAGGATACTCTCAAGGAGGCTAAAGCCGGTGACATTAGCATGCAGGTCCTTGTTGGTCAGATGTATTATAGTGGCTATGGTATTTCCAGAGATGCACAGAAGGTGATTGATTTTTGCTTCCGTTGATCTCTTTTTTTTTTTTTTTTTGGCTTGTCTTAGTTCACTATATAGTGCTCGTAGTTCTCTTAGAATCTAGAAACTTAGTGATGTATAAATAACCTACTTTGGAAATTCATGCTTTCTATTGACAAGAGAAAACCCCATAAAACATATTGTTGGAGAGCATTCTGAACTTAGAATTGCATTGAACTTTTTTTGTTTTGATGAGGATGGTGTCCGGGCCACTTGCATGGAACTTGACTATTCCACCTGTTACCTGCTATCTACCACTAGTAAAAAGGGCATCCCAGTGCACTGAGCTCCCGCCATGCGCGGTACAAGTACAAAAAATAAAAATTGAGTAAGCTTGTCAGAGGTTTACTTAAAAAATCCCTTTGTAGCTCAGGTACCAGGTAACTCCATCCGCCAAGACTTAGGTAGATAGGAAGAAATCGCCTAGTATTTTTTGTCTGCGTGGAGTTTACAATTGAACATTTGACACTCTTTATGCTTATACAGAATGAAGTTGAACTGTTGAACTTTGGGAAAAATGGCTGAGAACAAATGTTTATCATTGTCAAGCACATGAAATATCTTCAAATTTGAAATTCAAGCTTGTGGTTGCCTTGTAATACTAGAAGATACACATAATTAGGAGAATGTGTCCACCTTGTGAAGACAACAATGGAATTGAACCCGAACTCTTTAATAATTCAAGAAAAAAGAAAAAAAAAACTACAGTGTGCCTGCTCAGTTCAAGTGCTTATTTTCTTCTTAATCAAGGTACACCATAATTAAGATATGTACCATCACGTACGTGCTTACTTATCTTATCTCTTATTCAAGAAGTGAAAAACCAGAGTGTACCCACTTGTCTACTCTCACTAAAAGTTGCTCAAAGTTTTCAAAGTAAATAAGAAAATGGCACCAATCTTTCATCTGCCCAGAACTAGAGTTCTAGGTATGTTTGAAAGATTGACAGTTCTTCGGTTTTCTCTCTCTATTTGTTGTGTCTGTGGATGTGGGAAATGCTTCTACTGATTGATCCATTTGGGTACAGGGAAGAGCTTGGATTAACCGAGCTTCAAAGAGTCGGTCATCAGCGTGGAAAGTGAGTGATAAACGCCCAGGTATGTAGACGTTCGTTTACTGATTATATTGGTTTGGCGTTGTTGTATATTAGTCCAATTAGGTCTTCATCTTTTTCTTATCTTTTTTTCCTTTTTAGGCTATAATGCAAGTGATTCTGATTCTGATGATACTGTGGAGGATGCAAAGAAAAATTGAAGCACTTTTCACGGGTAAAACAAGCTATAGCATCGTAAGTTCAATTGCGTTAATTTCTTTCACCCTTGTTGTGCAAACTTTTGAGGTTACGGTCTTGTTCTACTTTATTTCTTAGTTGACATAAAATTGTTGCACTTGCTAGGATGTCTAATCTCATGTGGTGTATGACAATGTCACTCTAACCAGATTACTTGAAATTTGATAATTTCTTTACGTGTTTGATCTCCATCTCTCCTTATTAGTCGGTGGACGTAACTTCTTTTGTTAGTCGTGATTGAGAATAAAGTTGAAAACTTTTCTTTAGGGTCAATCTCCGCGCTAGATGTCAGACCAAAATTGCATACAGTTGCTATTACCCACCATGAAGCCAAATGAACTTAGAGAAACTCTTTCTTCCCTTTATGATTCCTTCCCACGAGCATGTCCTGTATGTTGCATGAGAACAGAACCTTCCTCCACATGGCATCTTCCAAGCATGCAAATCTCCATAGCGATTTTCTCATCAGAGTTTGGTCTAATATGTTCTTTGCAGATGCCCATCGTCCTGCTTTAATTGGGGCTATGATCTTATCTCACCCTACAAATGCTAGCTCCTTTCTCCATAAGCTCCACTGCAGAAAAGTCCTTTTGTAGTTTTTCAATCCTCATGCTAATCGATGCTTGAACAATGATATGAAGCATGTGGGGACACTTATAAGTGCCGCCTTTACAAGAATTTTTTGCTGCCCTCAAACAAGAATTGTCTATTCCATCCTTCCAATCTCATTCAATCCTCTGTATCATGGTAGTCTCAGTTCAGTGTCCTTAAATTTTCCTCCTAGAAACAGGCCCATGTATGTAGCTGAAATGTTAGCCAACTTATACCACAAGCTGATGCTAATTCTAGAATGCTTTGTACTTCTCCAATCAGTAATAATTCTGAGTTTCCCAGGTTTATGTGTAGTCCAGATACAACTTCAAACCAAATCATGTGCTGCACAAGAATCGTACCTGTCTTGTCTGTGCTTCAGAGGATGGACGAGACCGCTATAAAAGCTGAAATAGAGATGTCATCTTGTTCCTCCATTGCTTACCTCACAGCCGCTCAAGAAACCTCTAGTTATGATTGTTCCACCAATCCACCAATGATGTCAATAGGTCTACTACCTCTACTCAATCAGTCAATAAATGTATATATCTCGATTGCCAAGTAGCTATATGAATCCTCTATATTCATTCCGCTTTATTTACAATGTTTAATTTCAAACTGTATAATTTGTTTTTTAAAGCAATTTGGGTTTTCTAAATTTAGAAATTCTCTAAAGCTCACACTCATCCCGACACAAACAAGTCTAAACCAGAATAAAAAGATTTTCCTGTAGATATCTGATCTAATGCAACCTAGAGATCCTCACAGTGGATATTCAAAATATTTCCACCTCTTCTATTTTCCCCGAAGCCCATTGTGAGAAGAAGACATATAGTTCACATGGTCATAGAACATTTTGATAACCCTGGTTTATCACATCTCAACGCCTAGCCTATTGTCTCATTAGCAAGCATACTCGCATCCAAAATCTCTCTCCCTCAAACAAAAGCATCTGATTGTTAGATGTGAGCTTATAATATGAGACCTTTACTGACGACACTTCTGCTACAATCTTCTACATCCCTAGAAAAGTTAAAGTAAAAATCTTTAATATCCACTGCCCCCCCCCCCCCCCCCCCCCTAATCATGATTATATATGAGTAACTAAAGCTTCGTTCAAAGAACACACATTGGTAGAAGTGATCCATGCACTTCATTGCGTCATTTCTTGCCATGTCCCAATCATGTTGAGAAAATGTTTTAGCGAGACCATTCGGTCCAGGTGCTTTATCATCTGAGCCCGAGCAACTCTCTACAGTTTGTTAGACGTTATCAAAGCTCAGAAGTTTTCTTAAGCTCTACCTTTTGTTCGTGGCTAATACCTAAGTTGCTCGCGCTCTTCACTTTCGGTGCCGTACCTGTTTCAGCATGACACCAATGCTGGTGTGGGTGTGAGAACTGTATTAGATCTGGTAAATTGATTTTGGGTACTTTGACCAAAAGCTACGGAGAAATTCGAGACAAGATACAGTTTGATTCTTGAAATCAAACCAAATTTAGGTTAGCTTTGATGTGAGTATTGCCGCCGTTGTGGAAGGCCTTGAATGGATATCGCAAGAACCAGTTCTTGCTTCTTTTGTTTCTTTTTCTTTTTTGAGGGAGAGGAGCAGAGAACTTCGAAGAGGGACTTTGGGAAGAGAAGAGCTCTACGTCGGGAATTGGGGAAAGTGCAGGAGTAATAGAGTTCTTAAATGAGGCTTAATATTGGAGTTTACCTAATAAAAATTATTGTAACCTTTGATCTCCCCAATCAATATAGTGAAAGCTTGACACATTTGCTAAGTCTTCAAGAGCTTTATTCCTATAAGAATTAGAGTTCCAGTCCAAAAGTATAAAAATCAATTTTCAATTGTGAATCAAAGATAACTGTGCAAAAGTTATTTCTTATAATATTGATAAGTCTCAAAATTTAAGCATATTTTTATAATGCTATTTTTAGATAATTAAATTATTTTTAGTCAAATACCCGCACATGTATTTGAACCTAGATCCGTACCCCTGGCTCTGAATTTTAAATCATGAAGGATCCGACCTCAAGATCCGCACATATAACACGGACCGGAGTCCGAGCAACTTAGGCTAATACTCTGCAATTCAACACCTCCGTGACCGGCCTTAAGATTATACTTCATGATTTAGTGTTTGTAAATATTGTAGAAATTTTCCCCTAACTTCATTATCCTTAGGAGCTATTGTCCATTGATTTAAATTTACATATTTTCAAGGAAGCTATATCTTTTACTTTTAGGAGCTCTAGATTTAAATTTAGTATTTTTTTAAAGTTCTTTTCTTTCTCAACAAGTAGGTGCACCAAAAAATTTAAATCAAACAACGTGATACCGGAGCTAAATTATAAAAATACGGGTAATAGTATGAACAATTAGATAAATCCAAACTAATATAAAGAAGCATCGAAAAGAGACTCGTTATAGTATGAACAATTAGATAAATCCAATTGTACTCGATGAGGCTTCATCTCTTGAAATGTTTTTATAATAGACTCGTTAGAAACAATACTGAATACTTCTCTTTCTACATAAGGCACTAAACCGCCTAAAAGGTCACCATCCATTCGATTCCGAAAGTCATTCTTGATAAACTTCATTGCTGAGAAAGTTCTTTCAACGGTTGCAGTGGCAACAGGCAAAAGCGACGCAAGTTTCACTAAGAGGAATACAAGAGGATAAGCTGAATGCTTCTTTGTCTCTAATCTTTTTGAAAGATCAGAAAGCCCATTTAGATTGGAGAACCTTTCATCAAAATCACGAACATCAATAATATAACTCGCAAGCTGATTCTCAAGAGCACTCATCCTATATTCATCAAAGTCATCCGGATACAATTCAGCCATCTTCATTATCTTTCTGATATGAGAACTTGAAAATGAGTCAATTGGATTCAAACAAGCAACTCCATGAAGCAAATCAGTCGTCCTTTCGTCAAAACGATCGTTATGTTCTTGAAGTTGCCAATCAAGAACTTTACAAAACACATCAACACGATAATGATGAAAAACAGTATAATCAGTAGGTTTTCGCCGTGATCTTCCAGAGTTAACATATAGATAATCAAAATTAGAGACCAAAATATCATGCTTGATACAAAATATAGATATTTTATCAACAAGCAAATCCCATTCATCATCCCTCCTTAAAGTTTGCAATCTTTTCTTTGCTACTTGAACAAGTAGCATGACATTTGCAATATCTTGCTCTTTTTTTTGTAAGGATACATTCAGCTCATTTGTGATTCCCAAAATATCTGTCATTAAATGTCATTAAATGCAACAAGAAAGCAACCTTATATGTTTGACAAGCTTCGAGATACCCCGATGCCTTAGCTCTATCATATAAAGTACTTGCATCTTCAACAAGAGTATCAAGAACATCAACAATAGAGCCAAACATACAAATAAAGTTTCCAAATGACTTGTAGTGAGATCCCCAACGAGTATCACCGGCTCTAACAAGACCAAGTTTTTGATTCAAGCCTCTACCTGTTTTTAGTTCATCCATATCTAATGCCTCTTGGAATTTTTCGTTTTGAGAATCTCGAAATTCATCCACACGTTTAAAAGAAGCTCCCAACACATTCAGAATATTTGAAACCAATAATACAAGTTCACCACTTGAACACACTTCTTTGAAACTGCAACAAAAGTCAATTGAAGTTGATGTGCAAAACAATGAATAGAATGAGCCCATCTACTTTCTTGTTTAATCAACTTCTTAAGACCTTTAATATCACCTTGCATATTGCTTGCCACATCATAACATTGTCCACGTATAGAAGATAAACTTAAAGAATGATGAACAAGTACATTGACAATTTCTTTCTTTAGAGATAAAGCACTAGTATCTCGAACATGAACAATGCCAATAAACCTCTCCATCACACTTCCTTTTTATTGACATACCGTAAAACAATAGCCATTTGCTCTTTGCGTGACACGTCTAAAGACTCATCAACTAATAAGCAAAGTAGTCACCATTTAGATCCTCTATTATAGCCTTAATAGTTTCTATCTTACATGCGGTCACAATTTCTTTTTGAATATCTGAAGAAGTCATCTTATTGTTTTTTGGAGCACCTTTCAACACAAAGGGTTCAATCTTATCACATTTATCCGCATACCATGAAAGAACCCTTGTTCAATGACGTTTCACTTTCGTCATGACCACGAAATGCAAATCCTTGATTCAAGAGAATCCTTACCATATCAACTGTGAAGCATTTAAGCGAAGCCAATACTCATGCTTAGTTTGATCATACTGTTTGTCAAATGCAGCAATAATAGACTGTTGTTGCCGCATTAGATCATCACAATTTCTAATTGCTTGATTGTGAATACTATTTGGCAAACCAACATGTTTCTTAAAACATTCTTTTCGGTTCCAATTCCTAAACCCTTTACTAGAAAAAACATCACCACCACCTTGATGAATACTTTCGCCCTTAAATAAATAACAAGGTAAACAAGATGCAGCATCGGTACTTACACTATGCTCCAACCAATTAAAATCATCAAACCATATAGGATTAAAACGACGCTTAAATCCAGAAAAGTCAGACTGAGGGAAGTCATGATACCGAGGTTGGCAAGGACCACCTTGAATGTATGCCCTCCTTATTTCATCGCAATGGTTTGGATGATACTCCAATATTGGAGTTCTTTCAGCTGGATCGGACTTTGGAGCAATATTATCAATTTCTTGATCGGCATTATCTTCTCTGTTAGATTGATTTTGAGACACCGAACTTATTTTTGGTACTTTGTTGTAAAATTTCAACAAGTTCATTGCATCTTCAATTCCCTGAATGTATGAAGTAGTTAAAACATATTATTCCTAACTCATTAGGAGACACACACACAAAATCAGTAAACTTTAACTATAACTCATTATCCATTGTTCATAGTTAAGAAATCAAATTCCAATTTTTTTTCCAGAAGTTACCTTTGATTAGTATTCTTAAAGGGACCTATTATTTTGGTTTAGTTTATCTTAAGAGGCTAAGAGCAATCAGTTTGTTACTTTGTTTATATGTCGTCAACTATGCCAACATTATCCTAACTTGAATTATGGAACTTTTGGCAAAACCAAAGTGGTGAAGTGTTCTCCACCTACAAATACTGGAAGTCTGGAACTCTACTACCACCCCAAAATTAGGAAAAGATAAATAGTTTAATAATGATTAGAAACCCATAACCCATTTCCCAAAATTTAATTTAACTAGTGGTAGACCCACGGTATTGAAATTTCAAGAATTTACACGTCTTTCTATTTGTGCTCAAATCTCTTGAGTAGACCCTTTTTAGCCACAGTACCAAACCAAAAATCAGAGAACATTAATACCAAAACAGAAACTTTGAAGCAAAAAAAGAAAACAAAAGACAAGAGTTTCTAAGTTCTAACCAGTTCAATGGAGAGTGGAGACTGGAGTAATGGAGTTGTCGGAGTGATGAGTAGCGCCGACGGAGAGCAACCACAACTTCCAAACCCAGAACTTCACTTGTCACTAGCAGAGAGATCGGAGAAGATGGAGACCAAAATTACCTAGTTTTTTTCTTTTTGTTTGCGTGAGGAATGAGAAATTGAGATGGATCGATTTTGACTTTTAGGGATTTTGATTTGTTTATTCCAAATTTTTGTTTTATAAAGATTTATTTATTCCAGATTTTTATTTTAAAAAGTAAGTCAAAACAGATCGAACGACGTCGTTTAGTCTGTTTGTCTTTAAAAAAAAAAAATATTGCGACGCAACAAAAAATTGTGGAGAGTTGGGATCGAACCCGCGCCCGTGAGGCTCTCTTGACCACCCTTAGCCACTGGGCTATGCCTCTTCATTGTTACAAGGGTGTTCAATATGTATTACATGTATGTAAATTCAAAATTTTTACCTATATAAACAGTGTAATTTTTCGACCACCCTTCGTGCACTGTAGCTTCGCCCCTGGAGAAAGGAATTAGTTTTTTTTGCCTGATCTTGTCATCACAAGTCTTCCCATTATTCTCGTCTTTCCGTTTCGGATTGTTCAATTCCTTTGAACAAATTTTCAATGTTTGTCTCTACCCTTGCGAACAGCTTTTTGTACATCTTTAGTTCCTTAGATTCTTGAAGCTTGGTTCTCCTCCAACAGAATAGCTATCTCTTTACTCTTTTAACCATCATTTTGAAGTTTTGCTGCTGTAATGTTGTATTTTCGGATCTGAAATATGAAAGCCCTCTGTGTATTTTTCCTGTTCTCTAATAAATATGGCCAATCTCAGATATTGGTTTAGGCAACTCAAGAAGCTATACTATTCATCCGTGTGAATTTAGGAATCTCTCTTTCCACTTAGTTTTGTATCAGAAGTCTTTCTATTATGGAAACTCTTGTCCTATTCATCCACATGAACTTTTTCCTAGATAAAGGTATAATCACGACTCCACTAGTAAAAAGGTAATATAAGCAATCCTCCGTGACCTCCCTGCTAACTTTATTTTATCTTTTCATAACGGTGGTGGTGTCCTAGCCATTTTGCTCGCACCTCGACTTATCACCATGTACATGCTATCTTCTATCAGCACATGTAACAAGTAGCTTTACTACTAAAGCTTAATTGGATCGGAAGAATTCAACTAGCGTTTTCTCCCTTGATTTTCATTCTACTTTATTTATCGCTAGGTCACACCCAGTGTTTTAAAAGGCATTTTCGGGGCTAGTCCCAGGGCGAGTCTTGGGGCGAGGCGCACAAAACATGCCGCGAGGCGATGGTGGGGGACGAAAGACTCAGGAGGCGTACGCCCAACAATTCGGGGCGCACGCCCGGGCGTTGAGGCACATTTTTGTAGTGAGGCGTAAGCCCAGGATACTTTCAAGTTAAAATAAAATTTGCTGAATAAGTCCTTAAAAATACAATACCCAAATTCTCAAAAGTCAGCTTGTAATTACTCAAAAGTTTTAAAAAGCAACTGAAACATTAAATTTAAAAGTCAAGACCTTTTTTTTATTGCTAGAACCCTAATTTATGGTCTTTCCCAATTCTTTATCTTGTCCGCTAGTCTGCTACTATATCACAAAACCAACGAACAATCAATTTTTTTTTCCTGCAAATACAAAGAAAACTCATTCTCCTCCATAGCAGCTAGTTCAAAGTTCAAATTGCAGGTTCGTCATCCTTTTTGTTCCTCCACGTAGAGAACTTTATTCCTTTCAACTCAAGTTACTTGGGCTTGTAAATGGCGTATAATGGATTGTGTTGACTAGTTTTTTGTGGGGATGGAACATATCTATATATATTTTTCACTTATTTATATTTTTCTTCAATTTTTATGCAATTTTACCTATTTAAGAATATTTACTGTAATTATATTATTTTATAAAATATTAAAAATTAAATACCTATGCGGCTTACGGCCCGTGCCTCGGAGCTTATGTAAAATGCCACGCCTTACGTCCACGCCTTTTAAAATACTGGTCACACCCTTCGGTGCCCTACTTGAACATTCTATCGGAGTGCAATTGTTCATCGATTGCATTAAAATTCCCTGCTATTAGCCTATCACCCAAGCCTGTTGCCTTGTATTGCATTGAGTTGCTGACTCCATGGCCTATTTGGGACTATAGGTTCTTATGTATATCCAGTTGTACTTGATTAAAAGAAAAGGTATTTCCAGTTGTAGCAATGAAGGATTTGGCTGTCTTTGTTGCGCAACATAGTGCTAAATGCCTATTGTCACGGGCGCGTTTTATGTCTCACAAAAACAGCCCGCGCGGCAGCCAAGACTCGCCTTGACTTCAGCCTACTCCAACACTCGGCCAAAATTTCAGCAACTTTGGACTTTAGATAAATTTAGGCAGCTTTCTAACGTAGTAAATAGACACTGATTTAGGCAACGAAAATATGATGAAGGGACAGAAAATAAATGTGAACAAAAGGCACAATATTACAGGAAACTCTTTTCCCAACTTTGTATTTAACTCGAGCATACAAAGAAACTCAAACTCAAGTACATCCGTGTGCAAAAATGAAGATCGCTCTTGACCCTCACAAGACTACTCTTAGCCTTAGTGTTTTCACTCTTGAAAACAAGACTTAGGACTCTTCCTAAATCAGAAACATGCACTCTACACGTTTTTCCCCCTCATGCCACAAAAGGAAAGGGTGCTGCCCATTTATAATATATGAAACAGCCCCATGTTTACAATAGTTGCCCCATTTTAGGCCTAGACACTTGCCCACTCAGCCCACTACTTTACTTTAGCGTAGTTGACACCCCCAACTACTAGGATCATGTAAATCATGCTAAAGTAAATGGGATCATGGCCCCCAAAAACGTGCTAACACTCCTGCCAGCTTTTAGGACAAAGCCAACTGCTGCCCATGTGCACAGCATGTGCCGTAACCGCCGTTGACTTAGTCAATCCAAAGCTTGCTGCCCAATTTCGTGCCTTGGCTTGGACCAGGCGCCAATGCCATTGTATCCAGCTGCATTGTGCCCCAATTTGCCTATGCCATCGCCCACGAACTTGGCCTGTTTGCCGCAACTCAATGTCATGACAAGTCTGCCCGGGCACTGCCTTCCCGTTGCACTTTGGCCTGCTTTGTCACTTCGTTTCGGCCTTGCCTTGGCTTCAATGCCTCATGCCTTGATGCCTTTGCCATGATCAAGTGTCACCCTTAGACCGCAACTCATTGCCAAGCTGCCTCGCCTCCGTCAAAGCCTTGGCCATCACTTGCCCGTTTCCCTTTTTGACTTTGGTGCTACTCGTGCACCTAGCTTTGCAACACTCTTGCTGCCTCATGACAACACTCTTGTTGTCAAGTCAAGCTCAAAGTGGCGGAGGTCTAACAGTAGGACATATGGGGAATCTGGAACATAGGCAACCTTAGTACTTCTAGAATAGAATTATTTCTGAAAGTTGCGTGCTTGCTCGTTTCGTTGTATCATATGGATCATTCCAAAAAATAAAGAAGGGATAGCCTTAACATGCCTGAGCCGATTCTCTAGACAATCCTTCTAACACGACTTTGCAGAACTTAAGAAGTGTTGGGTCCTAGTAATGAAAAGTTGCTTCAACGAAATAAACATCTACGGAAAGAACACACTTTTTTTGAATTCCGATTTGCATTTTATTATCCTTAGCATAGCTACGCAAGTCATTGTCTTAATTGAAGTAACAAAAGTGGCATATCAATTAAAAGAAACACTTATTTAATGGATAATAGAATAGGACCAAGTCAAAGTCTGCTGATATTTCAAACATACCAAAACAGAACCCAATGATTTTCGTTCAAGACTTGTAATGTTTAACATTTGAGTTAGATACAGATACCCTGCTCTATCAATCAATTTCCAAACTTTAATTCTTTTCAACAAGAAATAAAGATGGGTTTAGCAGAAAAATAAGAAAATCACCCCACAAACGTGAAGGAGAGTTCTTTGTTGTTTCGAGGGAGAATCTTTGTCTGTGTTTGGTAATCAGTATCTAGTACTATATATGGTGTGTATATAAAGTTAATAACTTTCAGAAACTTCTTTCTAATTATGCCACCTATCCCAAGGATCTAAGAGTCATCATTTCCTATGGCATTTGCTGCCACGTTATGGCTTATCTAAAGCCTTAATTAATCACCACTAATTGTTAATTATCTTGCTAATATCCCATTAAATCAATGATTAACTAATTACCCACATAATTAAGAATTATCTCAAATTACTTAAAATACTACTCATTTTTAATACACTTTACATAACTTATATCATGGTCATGTGGTACTATATAAAATAAATACATACACTATTATTTTATTAA